GTCTGGACGCTCCTGAATCTCAATCGAGAATTCTGTTTGCTTAGTGCGGACAGAGAAGGTTACACGTCTAACAAGCGTGGAGTCACTCTGCCGGGTCGCACGTCGAAGGAACGGGCCTGGGAATATCTGGCTGCCGAGCTGAAAACTGGCCGCGGCTTGGTCAAAACGGTGTAACAGTGCGGTCTGCTCGGGCGAGCCTGGCTCAAAGTCGCAGTGTAGCCCGCCAGAGCAATGATACATGCCGTTCGAGTAGTGCGGTATGCTATCTAGCTCAAAATAAAACCGTTGGGCTAGTATACAGCTGGCCGCTGCCCGGATCTCTGGTGCGCTCGACGCAGCGGCTTCCGCCCGCCTCTGCCTTCCTTGCAAGTCTGCGATGTCGTCCAGGTTGGGCTGCGGCCCGTCATGCTCGGGATCAAAGCGGAAACAATGTCCGCCGCGAATATGCTGGCAAACGCGCTCAAACTCTCGATTCGAATCATTCTGCCTCATAAAGGCGCCGCAGACGCGACCTACAGAGGAGCGATGCACCACGCGAAGCCACGACCTTTTCTTACGCTTTTGCACCCTTCCTCCCACTGTCCCGGAGAGGTCTGTAACGCTGCGTGAACTTCTTTTCGTCAGCCTGCCTACTCCCGTCCCGAAGGATAGGAAGAGACCTGGGTTCGGCTTCGAGGGGCACTGGGACCGTGCGGCCGCGAGGGCGAGAGCGGATGGATTGTTGTATGTCATGCCTCCATCCTGGTAGGCAACGTCATCGATAACCTGCGGATTGAAGTAACTGTAACTCGGGGTCAGAAGCCAACAGTCAAGCGGGTTGCCGAACGTACAAGGGTGCCGCGGTGGTCGCGCGCAATCTAAGCTGGATTAGTACGCCAGTTACTTGGGGTAGAGGATGGCAACGTACGCTTGCCAGAGAGGGACATCTTTGGATTCGAGAATCTGAAAGTTAGCTGGCGCGCTAGAGGTTAGTCATGCCCATCCGTTGAGTGCTGCCAGAACAGCGGAGCGACATACCGACCGCGTCTTCGGGGTCTCCCGTACCACCGTCGTTGGCGACCACCAAAGTGGCCGTATCTTCTGCCGTCACGACAGGAAAGCCAACGTGCAGGCCCATCTCGTTCGCGATAGTCCAGTCTGAAAGCATTCTAGCTTCGCCAAAGACTGCCTTCAATGCTGTCTCGAGGTTAGCGGATGAATATTTGCTGTCGGTGAGTAGCGTGATAACGCCTCGCAACAGCCGCTGGCCGACGCTGGTCCGGCCCAGTGGAAATGCGGAGACATCTCGGCCTTGGAACGTGTGCTTAGCCATGGTGTCGACCAGCACGATGCAGTCCTGCACACTCAACCCGAGCGCCAAACCCCAGGCGCTGATGGCACCTGTGCATGTTAGATAGAGCTTGACACGGCGGCGGACAACAAACCTGAAGAAGTGCCATAAAGTATGTCAAAGTGGTACTGAATTGGAAATGGCAGACCGAGCCGCTCATCGAGCGCTTTGAGGGCCGCGAGCGGGACGCCGGCGTTGGCGCCGCCGCCATCTATACAGAGAATCCGTAGCGCAGATGTCCTGGGCTTTACGCGAATGCGCATCCCATTCGTTTCTTGACTACAAAGCAGGCAATGAGACAAACTTCGAAATCCAGCTGTCTTGTCCGAGAAGTGGTCACAGCAGAAGGCACATATCCAGTGACCGCATGGTAGCTTGTGCTTCGCCAGTCTCATCATGCAGCTGAAACAGGAGGCTGAAGAATGAATGACCTCCCATTGCTGCCGAAATGCAAGGAGCTGGGCTTTGTGAAGCTGCAGCGCTGACTGCGCTCCGATGAAGTCATGAAATTGCTGCTGTAGACTCTTGATCAGTAATGTGGTGAAGGTAGAAGGTAGCGTTAGTTTCTTGGTTCCGTCAGCGGCTGTCAATAGCCTTTGGCTTAAATGAGCCAATCGAGGTCTATAAAGCTTATCAAATACGTCGGTAATGTCAAATACTAATCTGTCAGCGACGCTTATCTACATGACGGTCTGCAACACACCGTGCATCCTCGTCATATAGTGATCGAAGATGATGCTCGAGGCTATAACGGGAACGGCGAATGAAAGCAAGAGCTCAAAAGAGTCAATACAGCCTAAAAAGTCAGACAAGACCGACTCGAGATGACCGGGCACTGGACGCCGGCTGCGTGTCACAGACACGAAATCGAGCGGCGCCGGTGCTGACGGTAGCGAAATTAGGCCTGCTGTGTGGTTCATCAGCTCGCAAAGATGCTCGCCCGTGTACAAATGCCACTCTCTTGTGCGATTTTCCCGCGCTTTGTCTACGAGATCCGCCAACTCATCGCGGAACTCGTCCCACTGCGGTTGTTTCCGCGCGTGAGCAGCGGTGTTGAGGCTGGCGACGCGGATGCCAGCAAAGCGCGTCATAAGCTCCACGGCTACGGTGGGCGTCCCATGCTCGTCTGGCGCAGCTCCTCTCATAAAACGATACAAATCCTTTAGGATTAGATCTTTCGACCTCCTTTCTGAACCATCGTCTACGAGAAGCAGCCACGGCAGGACAGGACTGTCCGACGGTAACCCGTTCTCGAGCCATAAGTCAAGGTGTCGGGCGACGCCTCTGATGCCGCCCAAGTCGCTGATGAATACGCATACAACGCCGGCGAAGGGGAGTATAAGCCGATTGATCATCCAATTCATCACGCTCTCGTCGCTCGCCCGATGCGCGGCGGGTGCTAGGCCGCGACGGGTGAGCTCGTGGCACCGTGAGAAAGCGGTTCCGCGCGATACTTTATTTCGAAAACCAACGTCGGTTTCTGCGACGAGAAGTGACCTGCCACCATGTCCGCTCAGCGAACCCGCGAGGAGATGGACCTCTCCGTCTATTCTTGAGTAGACACGCCGCTCTACAGCTAATTCGCGGAGCGCAGCCACCTTGCGCCAATTGCCCAGCATAAAAACAAGCTCCGGTGCATCACGTGCCAAGTGGTCCTCCGCCCTCCCAAACACTCTCCGAGGACGATCCGTTACCTGCACAGCGTATTCATTATTCTCCTTTACCAGGCGCAGCCAGGCAGTGTGTTTACAGAGCATATTTGGTTGTGTGGCTGCCGGAAAGACTGCTCGCGTCGCTCTTTCTATTTATACAGAAATGGCGAGCCAAAATTAGACGTCTGCAACACTAAAGATGGCGGATGGACACTTTTGGCCACGCTTTCCAATAGCTATATACATAAGAGGCCAGCGGACAGCGGCAACGGAGGGGCAGTGTGCAAGCACGCCAGTCCTCAGCCTGCGTCAAAAACGGCCATGAGAATCTACGAATGTGGACGCTGCAAAAGGCGTCGCGTCAAATGGCCCGCCAATGCCACTGCGTCCTTCTATTGGCGACTGATACTGCTACGCATCACCGACGCACCGCGTGTTATGGACATTTGCTCTCGATGCGCGACCCGCCAAGCCCGGCGAGCCGTTGAGCACCAGACAGTCGTGGAACATCGCACAGTTGAGCACCGATGTCTCTGCTGTTATCAATGCAAACTGAGGGACTTGTGCGAGGCTCCGCCGCCGGAGTACCGTTCAGAGCTGCCCGCTTCGCCGCCTGACAGTCCACACGGAGAGTTGGCTCAGAATAGAGATTGAGAAAGGGTCACGTGGATAGTTGCTGCTGTGTTGGAAACTGGTTCTTTAAATAGCTAATGGAATGCATTGCTATATAAATTCGAGTTTGCCTTTATCACCATCCCCAAAGTAAGGGTCTAGTGTGCCGGGCCCAGTAGGTCCAGGCCTCGGCCTCCGCTCTAGCAAGGCTTAAACGCCTAGCCCGAGAGCCTTCCAAGCTGTTCGGCTTCGGAAATCCCTTCGCTTGGCTTTCTTCCCGCGCTGGCTGGGGTGGGGTCCCGGCCTGATCTACAAGTTGCAGTTGGAGCATTTGATCGATCACGGGCATATCACTAAAGGTGCCTTCCTCCATGCCCTCGATGGCTTCGAAAAGTTCATCCGATCCCATTTCCTCTATACCTGCACCGAACTCGGTCATATCGTTGATGAACCATGTGTCCCCCAGCAGCTCTGAGTCTTCTATGGAGGGCATGTATTCTACGCTGTCCACATGGTCCCCTTTCGCGACGGGCAGCAATGCTTCCGTGCTTCTCTCGCCCACCGCACTGTTTGACTCGTGCTCATTGTCTGTAACTTCCGCATCCGCCGCGCCGTCCGAGGCTTGGCCGCCCGTATCATATTCGACACTGCTCGCTTCCCCCGAGGCAGACCCCGATCGTACTCGGCCGCCGTCATCGTCAGGCACATCGTAGACATTTTCAGGGGCAGTGTGTGCGAGCTGCGCTCCATCAGGTCGTTGCATGCTTTTGGTACGCCGGGACTGCTGCCTCGGACGCATCGGGCGTGTCGGATGCGGACTACCGGAGCGTCGACATCCGGGTTCTATGTCGATGCCGGGTCGCACTCGAGGTTCTTTCTTGGTGCTCTGGTATTCGGCGAGCTACAAGGTGTGAGAGACGCGCCAATTCTCTCATCATGGGTGTTTATGATGCTCACTAGTGCATTTAGATCTGGTAGGGTCTTGCCCGTGGGACAATGACTTGCCATGTGCCAGATGCCATGGGTTGGATCCTCATAGAAAACGGCTGTACGTATGTTGGCTTTCAAGCCTAGCTTCCGAGTCTTGCTTTTCAGACTGGGGCCTCGCTTGCGCGCTGCTTCTTTCTGCTTTTTGTTATGCCCAGTAAGGACCGCCTTTGGTGCCATAATGCGCAGAGCACGAGATGAAAAGTAACCGACCACAACATGATGGCACAATAGGATACGGAACTGGCTTCAACAATATATATTCCGTTAAGTAGCGGTACGCTCCTGCTCCGAAAGCTGCTGCTGTAGAAGCCATTACCAGCACCGTGAGGGGCTTCGCACGCCCGGGGTTGTCGAAGCAGTCGGCTGCCACCCTTTGGCCAGTGGCCAGTAGTAGCCACTGCTACAGACACACCACATGCATAACCAAACAGGCCACGACGAGAACGGGAGCATGTTTCCGCTCCTTCTCAGGGCAGCCATTTCCACCCAGGATTGTTGCGTTGATTCAAATGACCGTCCTGGCCGACATAGGTAACTATTCTGCTCCGGATAAAGCGCAGAAGTCGCTTCCCTTAGCGCATAGATGGTTGTGTGGATCACACACCCAGGGCCGCTATTTTCACACCTGATCCTGGCGATTTTTAGACCCTCGGGGTGAAGCAACTCCTCTGTCCAATCTTTTACGTTCTACACATGTCCACTCCCGGGCGTGACTTTTCCCTTCTCAACCAAGCACCTGGAAGTTACAGCCCATTCCCACGCAGGGCGTGAAAAGTAGCCCTAACCGTGGAAGCCAATTTTTCGGGGACTGCCCGGGGGTGAGCAGACAGAAGCATTCAAAAAGTTGCGTCATAGCGTCTATCAGGGAAACCATCACAAAGGTATTGTAGAACCGGGGTTTAGTAACGGGGCTAGATCGAATAGCCTACGTGTATCAACCAACATTCGGACTTTCAAAATTGAAGTGAAAGGAAGCACAAAAGATTTCTCATGGGCATGAAGTCAAAAATCGGCTTAACAGTGTATAGTGAGGCTAAAACAGCAATCAAAAAATAAGATAGAGAAGCAATGAAAAGAAGAGGTGGAGTGTTGCCAGTGTTGGTCATGTAACTCCGGGGTGTAGATTGAGTTCAAGAGTGCAGGCATGTCCAACAGAATTGATAGAGGGAAAAGAAACAAGAAGGACAGACTTCCAAGCAGAAGGAGGATGGTATGCCGGGGGTCAGGGTGTAGCTTTAGACATTATGATCAAAAGTTCTACACCCCTGCAGCACGCTGGTCTGTTCCTCAAGCTAACCCCTATTTGGTCAGACGGCGTTTAAGCTAATGCTCCCTAGAAGGGTTAGCGGCACCAGGATACATCCTGGGATTGCCCATTACACTCAGTATTGATGGGGTGCACGCCACCCTGCTCGGTGCGCAGTTTACCAGTATACACCCATGTCAAGTCTGCGCAGAGCCAGGTTGCTTCTGGCAAAGGCCTAGTAGCTACGAGTCGGGGCGCAAACTTGTACTGAGGGGCGATGTATAAATGAGAGGGCGAGAAAGGAGGTGGCCGGTAGCTTCGGGCGTCTGTCGAGCTTGTCAAAGAAGAGGAGCTGCTCTCCCAAGGCGAATACTAGAAGGCCAGGTCCGTGCGATGCAGCTAACCTTGCCCGACTAGGAGAAACCGAGCGCTGGGTGGACCTATGGTCGTATGCCTGCGGGTATAATACATGTAATACAGGTGACATTGCGTGCGTGCAGAGGTATCGAACCGATCCAGAGTTACGCAGGCTCCACGCCAATGCGGGACTATCTGGCGGCGTTTTCGCACATCCGGAGGGGTTTGCCTACGTTCCCATGAGCGAGAGCGTATGCGGCTTTGATGAGCGATCCCTTTCTGAGTTCGAGAGCCCGTGGAGAAGACAGCTGCCGATGAAGACACTTTTCTGGTATTGCAGTGAAAGACTGTACCGGTCAGCTCTCCACAAGCGTTGAGCATACAAAGAGACGAGCTCCCCAGGATC